TCCCCATTAAACACTTATGTAATTCCCCATGTTAAGATTACAGATACTAATCAATAAATTAAATTACTGACGAATTTAATTCAATAATTAATTTCCTTTAGAGCACTACTTAACTTATTTCATGTGTCGGATTCATAAATCCACTTGCAAGGTTTGACACGATAAAAAACTTATAAGTTTCTCAAAAAAGGCATATCAATCAATCTCTATAACGAGACATGGATTCCATCAACTAACTTATTATTTCACCAATATATATTATTATCATCCAATCTACCAGGCATATTGACCCATCTCAGAATATCACATTTTAATAAATCAAAACGATAATTAATAGATACAGATCATAATAGTTATATCAGGATTAAGAATATAAGTACATTTAATAACTTAGAGAATATGTTTTTTGTCAGCCAGTCTAAAACAATTATCTCTACTCGGTCCCGTTCAATACATACAAAATGCACTAGCACAAGAAGTTGGAACTATACCGTTCCCATAATCAAGATAAATTACATATAATCTTGTGCTACAATCGTACCGATGGCATGTCCAATTTCCATCCTAGATTGTGAACAAAATTTTTTTATACTTGTAAGAACCGATGATTTAATCCTCTGTGTATAAGTTAAAACTCTACACACTAAATCATCTACTATATAAGTAAACAGACACCATAAACGAATATATGATCTATTAAAACTGAGCAAATATTTATTCTATAATAAATATTACATCTTAACACATGGTTAATAGTATATATCCCAACACTTGCTTATGGAGAATATCACGTTCTAACATGTGTAATAAATCACGACAGAATTGTAATCTATTTGGGTTTTTTTTCCGTGATCTTTAACTTTTAATCTATTTGGTAGGTATGAGTTTTTGTATTACAGTGGAAATTGGTTGTTTAGTTCTTGAAATTTAAGTCGAAATCTAACCATATTATGATTTTATATGATGTGTATTTTTGTATTGTATTAGATGGTGTATTTAATGTCGTTTAAAACATCATAAAACAGGATTGAAATTGGGTATATAATGTAGTTAATAGATAGTTTATATTACTTCGTTATTAATCTTCCAATTCGTGATTGCTTTTTTGGTATTTGTCTTGGTGTCTTTACGACGGTTTTGGTGATATTGATAGTCTATATATGTTAAGTCATGTATCTCCGCCAAATTCAGTGAATAATTTTAGTATTTGTTTTGGCGTATTTGTGGAGTTTTTTTAGTTGATTATAAAAATCAAATTACGTGATTGTATTTTGGTAGATGATTTGATGAAATTGATAGTCTATTTTAGGTCATGTATTAAAGCCGAATTTCATGAAAAATTATTGGTATATTATTTGCTGTCATTGATAGTGTTAGTGGTATATCATTAGGTGTAGTAATTAATAGCATTATTATTTTGTATATATTCTGGTGTAAATGATATATTTTAGGTCGTACATGAACACCAAGTTTGGTGAAATATTTTTTGGATACATCTATTGGTGTGTGTTTTGAGTTATTGTTAGGGTATATACTATTAATCATGTGTTTAGACATAGTATTTTAACAATTTTCAAGACTAAATATCTAAGTGGGAGATTGTTAGGGTATACACTATTAATCATGCATTTAGATATAGTACATTATAACAATTGTGATGGTTAAAAGTCTAAGTGGGAGATTCTTGGGATATAAACTATTAACCATTAAAGTAGGACTTCTCGAGGATTTTGCTACGGTGGGTCCTTGCGCTTAATTACAAGTATACGAGGGATAATTGGGGTTTGTGTAGCTTGTATAAGGGCATTGTAATCGGTGGATGATTCTTGATATCGTTCCATGAAGGGTAGTACAGAATTCATAGAACTTGATTAAAGTTCTAAACTTTATCATCATAATTGATTGTAGAGCTATCATTGAACGTAGTTGAGCACATCTAAAGCGTTTTTAGCAGGGTATACGATATGTCTATTTATGAAAACATTCTTCTCATGTGTATCTTTATTTTGAACATACTTTTGACTACAAAGAGGTTTTGAATCCGACTTTATGCGTGTTATATAGACATGCTCGTATCGAGTCTTCATACTTGTTATGATATATGTAAGAAAACATGAAAACATATTCTCTAAACTATTAAATGTACTTATATTCTTAATCCTGATATAACTATTATGATCTGTATATATTAATTATCGTTTTGATTTATTAAAAGGTGAGATTCTGAGATGGGTCAATATTCCTGGTAAGTTGGATGATAATAATATATATTGGTGAAATAATAAGTTAGTTGATGAAATTCATGTCTCGTTATAGAGATTGATTGATATGCCTTTTTGAGAAACTTATAAGTTTTCATCGTGTCAACCCTTGCAAGTGGATTTATGAATCCGACACATGAAATAAGTTAAGTAGTGCTCTAAAGGAAATTAATCATTCAGTTAAATTCGGCAGTAATTTAATTTATTGATTAGTATATGAAATCTTAACATGGGGAATTACACAAGTGTTTAATGGGGAATTACGAAATATAAATAGAGGAGTGCAATTACGAATGTCTAGTGGAATGATTTGTACTTTATTATGGTAAGAATAATTCAAATTAATTAATTGGAATTATTTCCATAATAGGAAGCCTCAGTAATTAATTATGTGGTCCCTCCAGTGCCCATATTTAACTAGAACTCAGAATCCTATTTCTTAAGGGAAAAAGGAGTAGGCGTGTGTTTTTCTTGTTTTTCAAGAAAACTGAGTTTTCTTCTCCTTTTTGGATTGGAGAAGAAATCTCTATAAATAGAGATTCTCCTAACCTAGAGAAAGATGATTAGTTTTCTATTTTTGATACTTGCCCACCCAAGTATTGAGAGAGTTCGGATGTGAACTTGGGATCACTATAGAAGATCATAGCTGTTGTCTATCTTGTGGATTTGTTTGAAGATCAATCTAATTTGGAGATTTGCTTGAAGGTATCTGATCACGCTTCAAAAGGTATTTATCGAGTTAAATTTCAACAAATTTAAGTGTTCTAGCATGATTGTGTGTTCTAGCATAAACGGTATTGATTATCTATTATTCATGTAAGCAGTTTGATCCTGATATGCTTACGATGTGCATATAATTTTCCAACAATTGATATCAAGAGCCATGTTTACGTCTATTTAGATAACCTAGATTGAAATATATATATATGTTAGATTTGATATATATGTTTCATGAAAAGAAGCCGTCGAGTCTTCCATTTTTGTTGTCGCCTATTTCAATATTAAATTAGTTCCCTGTTAAATATTTTGGTGATGACGATAGTCTTGACCTATGGGATAATTTATAGCTTTGTGCCTAGTTGATTATTAAAGTGCTCATATGAGATGGTTTTACTAATAAAGGATAATTATGTTAAAAGGAATTGGTGGCGGCAGTGTAGTTAACTTTATAAAGTGAGACAAATCTTTACTTGTCACAAGAATTTCTTGTTATTATAAAAAAAAAAAAAAAAAAGAGGCATTATCTTGTTATACACATAACAAGAAGTAAATAAGGACGTGGTATTACAGTAATGTAATTAATCTTGGATTGATTAGTTAAGTTTTACTGATGGTTGCAAACTTGCAATTTGTGAATTGTGAAGTTATTTTCCATGTGTCGGCGGCATCAGTTGTACACATAGGGCATCTTTGTTTTCACTGTGATTATGCGCTTAATTAATTCTTGGCCAAATAATTGATAAAATTTATGATTGGCCGAGAATTAGTTTATTTTAATTATATGGGCATAGAATTTCTCCTCCTCGTGTTAATATATTGACACGTATACATATTAAGAATTTTTTCTATTATATAGAAATGTGATGGAGAGGACGATCACTGGCAAAACAGATATTATACCAATCGTACAAGGGCAAAAATATAATTATCATTTGTTAGCCATCATAAAGATTTTTTATGTTCATTCTAGAAGCTTTACTTCACTCTAGAAGTATCTTGGGAGAATGAACTATAGGTGACAAAAAAGTGTTGAAATGTAAAAAGAATAATTGATAAAATTTATGAATGGCCGAGAATTAGTTTATTTTAATTATATGGGCATAGAATTTCTCTTCCTCGTGTTAATATATTGACACGTATACATATTAAGAATTTTTTCTATTATATAGAAATGTGATGGAGAGGACGATCACTGGCAAAACAGATATTATACCAATCGTACAAGGGCAAAAATATAATTATCATTTGTTAGCCATCATAAAGATTTTTTATGTTCATTCTAGAAGCTTTACTTCACTCTAGAAGTATCTTGGGAGAATGAACTATAGGTGACAAAAAAGTGTTGAAATGTAAAAAGAATAATTGATAAAATTTATGAATGGCCGAGAATTAGTTTATTTTAATTATATGGGCATAGAATTTCTCTTCCTCGTGTTAATATATTGACACGTATACATATTAAGAATTTTTTCTATTATATAGAAATGTGATGGAGAGGACGATCACTGGCAAAACAGATATTATACCAATCGTACAAGGGCAAAAATATAATTATCATTTGTTAGCCATCATAAAGATTTTTTATGTTCATTCTAGAAGCTTTACTTCACTCTAGAAGTATCTTGGGAGAATGAACTATAGGTGACAAAAAAGTGTTGAAATGTAAAAAGAATAATTGATAAAATTTATGAATGGCCGAGAATTAGTTTATTTTAATTATATGGGCATAGAATTTCTCTTCCTCGTGTTAATATATTGACACGTATACATATTAAGAATTTTTTCTATTATATAGAAATGTGATGGAGAGGACGATCACTGGCAAAACAGATATTATACCAATCGTGTTTCAATACGTCATTAGTTTATATGTTTTTGAGACATTCAATGTGCATGCATATAACATATAATATATTTTATAATCATATTATACTTTATCATTTGAACATTAATTTATCATTTATTATAAAGAAACCAACATCATAATATTAACTCAATTATTTTATGATAGTTTTCATCATGTCGAATTTGTCAAAGCTTGAATTTGTGGCACTTGGCATTTCTGGAAAGAACTATTTGTCATGGGTACTTGATGTTGAAATTCACCTTACCGCTAAGGGTCTTGGTGATTGTATAATCGAAGGAAATAAGGCATCAAGTCAGGATAAAGCGAAAGCTATGATTTTTCTTCGTCATCATCTTGATAAAAGGCTGAAGGTTGAATACTTAACAGTGAAAGATCCACTTGAATTGTGGATAGGTTTGAAAGGGAGGTATGACCACCTCAAGGCAACTTTATTGCCAAGGGATCGTTATGAGTGGATGCACTTACGGTTTCAAGATTATAAAACCGTAATTGAGTATAACTTTGTTGTATTTAGAATAACTTCCCAATTGAAATTATGTGGTGAAACTATAAAAGATGAGGACATGTTGGAAAAGACTTTAACTACTTTCCATGCCTCTAATATGAATATTACAACAACAATATCGTGAAAAAGATTTTACAGAAATACTCTGAACTGATCTCATGCCTTTTGGGGGTTGAGTCAGCATAATGACCTTTTAATGAAAAATCATGAAGCCCGTCCCACTGGAAGTGCTCCATTACCGGAGGCACACGGGGTAGAAGCACGGCCAGTCTGAAATAAGACAAAATAATTGGGGCCATGAAAATGTGTGTGGGCGTGGCAAAGGCAAAAAACGATATAATAATCGTCGAGGTGGTGGTCATAACAAAAGGGAGAACAATATGGGTTCTCAAAATAATCCTTCAAAAGGCAAGGGCGATCACTGTCATCGTTGTGGCCTTAAAGGTCACTGGAAAAATGAATGTCGGGCACCTGAGTTGTGGCCTTAAAGGTCATTGGAAAAATGAATGTCAGGCACCTGAGCATTTTGTCAGGCTGTATCAGAATTCCTTCAAAAGAAAAGGAAAGAAAGGCGGTGCCTCCTCTTGTAATGCTCGGGTGGAGTCACATTTGACTCTCAAGGATGATGCTCAAGCAGGATCTTCTCAAAAATATGATGAGAATGTTGAGGCGAATTTAGCATTGAAAGATGATGCTTTTGATGGGCTCGATGATATTACTCATCTAGAAGCTGAGGACTTCTTTGGGGATCGCAACTGAATATTGATAATTGAACTAGAAATGAATAATGTCGTTATGTGTTTTAAATGTATTACTTATAGTTCATGTACTTAAATTTTCTTTTGTTAAGTTTCGTACTTCTTATTATATATTTTTATTTTTAGGAAGATAAATAAATTTTCCAGTCTTCAGTTGAGTCCAAGATGAATAATGGAGATATGTGCCTTCTGGACAGTGCCACAACTCATTCAATACTAAGAGAAAATAAATATTTCTCTCATTTGGTAATGAAAAAGGAACATGTTAATACAATATTCGGTAGTACAAAATTGATTGAGGGCTCTGGAAGAGCGGCCTTATTACTACCTGGAGGAACAATATTGATAATTAATAATGTATTGTATTGTAGTAAGTTTCAAGGTTATTCGCCAAAATGGCTATCATGTTGAGACTGCAAATGAAGGAAATGTGGAATACCTTTACATTACTACGATAAATGCGGAGAACAAAACTGTGCATGAAAAATTGTCTGCACTTTCTTATGGATTGTACCATACAAATATTGGTACGGTTGAATCACATGCCATAGTAAACAAAAGGTTTACTGATTCTAATGATTTTGTCATTTGGCATGACCGGTTGGGCCATCCCGGTTATGATATGATGCGCAGAATAATTGAGAATTCACATGGGCATACTTTGAAGAACCAAAATGTTCTTCAATCAAAGGAATTCTCTTGTGCTGCTTGTTCACAAGGAAAGTTGGTTA